CATTAATTACTTTTATTCTTGCACTAAATTTGATTTAATTAAAAGAGTGAATTAAACAACTTGATTTAATAAAATATGTAAAATATTTTTCGAGTAAATAGAATGTGTAATATACATTCGCGAAACGTTTATGATTTAATGTCTGGGTCTACTCTGTTCAGGTGCATTTCCATTCATCTGTAGCGCGAGGGCGGGTCTGCTGATGACGGGTTTCAGTTTTGCATTCGGCGCGATGTTCTCCAAGACCTGGCGCGTGCATTCCATCTTCACTGATGTTAAGCTCAATAAGAAGGTAACAAATGGCCAAGATCTTTTTGTCCTCCCAATATCATGTTCTTAATATTTGTAATTTTTCATACTTTGGAAGATTCTTACATTTATCCTCTATGTCATGAACTAGTAGTATTCCTGTTTTCTTGTCTATTATCTTACCTATTGTGTTGGTATTTTCAGGTGATAAGAGATTATCAACTATTTATGGTGGTCGGAGTTCTACTGGCTATAGACATTGCTATTATGAGCACGTGGCAGATATTCTATCCCTTCTATAGAGCTACAAAACAGATGGAGCCATACGTAAGTTATACGATTACTTAGCTATATTATTTCTCAAGTTAGATTCCTAGTAAGTTAATAATGTATGTGGACTTTAATAGCCTCATCCGACAAGTGAAGACATCGTTATCGTTCAAGAGAATGAGTACTGTCAATCGGAAAAGATGACCATTTTCGTCGGAATCATTTACGTGTACAAGGGACTCCTACTGGTAAGTGTTTGGTATAATAATAATTAATTTCGTAGTAATTTGTAAGAATTGCTTAGGTACATCAGTACCTCAGAATTGAGGGTCGATTTTGCCTCTGGGTTTTAAACTAACAGTAGAAATTCAACGTAAACAAGACTATATCTGCTAGTACTACTTCTTCTAAGTTGATCTATATTTCTTACTTAGGTGTTTGGAGCATTTCTCGCATGGGAGACTCGACACGTATCCATTCCCGCATTAAACGATTCTAAACACATCGGTCTGTCTGTCTACAATGTGCTCATCATGTGTATTATGGGTGCACCCATCGCTCATGTAAGTTACATTTAACACACATAACACAATTCAATACTTAAAAATATTTTTGTTGAAGATGGTCCTTTGAGTCGGATTATTTTATTGCAGGTGCTCGCGGACCATAAGGACGCCCTATTTGTTCTCATATCTATCTTCATTATATTCTGTACAACGGCCACTTTGTGCCTGGTATTTGTGCCCAAGGTTAGTGTTTGTTTTGCCATCAAACTTTCTTAAGGACTTACGTATTCTTTATTTTTGTACGTCGTTTATTAAGCCATTACTTACACAAACATTTCACTGTCTAATAGAATAGCTTCGAGGTTTAACTATTGTCAAGATTTTTCTTAGAGTAAATATGGGTAAACAAGATCCTGTTTTCCCAGCTACTAGAGTTACGTCGTAATGGCCAGCCGGGCGCGGCGGGGTCTCGGATCAGGGCGACGCTGCGGCCGGCCACGACACACGAGTGCCGCGACCCCGGCCCCGAGCTGGAGCGCCGGCTGAAGGAGCTGCGCCAATATAACAACCGCTACCGCCGCACCCTGCAGGCCAAGGAGAACGAACTGCAGGTAGAAAATTCATGAGTACGTGTTGAATACCACTCCACTGTCATCGTGGAAACCAATTATATCACTCTCCCCAGCTTGTCCAAAATCTTTTTTACCCTTCACTCTTACTTTCGAAGCCAGTTTGTTTTTGCTGCATGTTGACAATGCCACGCATTGCAGATGTTGCTCAGCAAGCTGGGCAGCGACGCTAGCTCGGAGTCTTCTACACGGGAGTCGCGGTCGCCTGCGCAGCGCGTGCGCCTGCCCACCACCAGGGAGAACATCAGCCATCCAGGTTCCCACACAAGTGTTACAAGTCGAAAGCCTATTCATGCTATGCTTTCTAAAGACTATTTAATCTTGGAGGACAGTAATATTACGCTTC